TAAAGAAACATTGTGTTTGCCTTCGCTGTTTGACTCGTACAGCGGCATGTACCAAGTCGACAGCCACGGCAGTATAATGAGGCTGACACCAAGTAGAAACGCGCTGCAGTAGAATGTGCGGCGCAGGCCGGCCTTGCGCGACAGCGCCGGATAGACGAGCAATTGGACAAGCAGTGACGCAGCACTGCCGGTGGTCACTATCAGACCGAGATGGGCGCTATCCATGCAGAAACCACCTCTTGAAGGCCGCTGTAGCAGGATGAGGGTCACCACAGCCGTACTGGACTGTGTTGCAAGTCCCCACAGCAAGATGGTGTATAGAACAGTGACGTTGGCCGGGTCATTGCGGTATGCCTCGGCATAGTAGTCGAATCCGCTGCGTAACTTCTTCCCCAGCCTGCTGCAAGTGGCTCGGCAACAATCGCAAAACGTCAGTCGTCTACTGGGGTTCATATCCAGTGCCGAGTACTTGGTCTTGAGGACTAATGGTATTTCATCGCCATACGGGCATACACACAGCCGTGCACACAGTCGCTGGTACCATGGCAGCTCAGGTATTGTCCTGCCGGCTGCCAAGCTCTGGGCCAGATAGTCCCGTCGGTCGATACCGAGCAGTTTCACTTCTTCATCGCCACTGCCACCAGCACCGCTGCTTGGAACGCGAGCAGTGCTTGTTTTTGCTGCACTTGGTGTTATGAGTGTCTCCTTGACACAGAGTAGCAAGAATACGAACAGTGTCATGTAGATTGAGATTATGACCAGACAGGGCAGAAGGAACGGCACGTGCCGGAAGAACGCAACGTTCAACGCCCGGTACTTATTGGCCGGTTGAGATAGGAAGCCGGCGACCACTGGACCGATTATACGGCCCAGTGAGCTCCACACGCCGCGGAGCGAGAACAGCCTCGGCCGGTTGTGTCGCCGCGAGCTCTCGCAGAGCAATGTACTGACGATGGCTTGGTTGCCGTAACTCAAACCCCATCCAAAGCGGGCTAGGAGGGCCCACCAGAACGCCTGCGCCACGCCAAACAGAAAGCAGAACAGCGATGCGCTCAGCAGGCTGGCCAGCAGCACTTTCCGCCGGCCAAATCTCTCTGCGGCCAAAGCCAGCCCAGCATTGCCGATCATAGTGCCCAGAAATCCCATCATGATCATCAGGCTGGAGTAGAAACCGATTTCGTGTACGTGTATGTGCAGCAGATACTGTGTCATGAACGGCTCCATAATAGTCAGCATACTGTTGGTCATGTACCGCGCGAACGGGATGGCTGTTATTGGCAGGACCTGCTTCCAGTTGATACCGCTGGTGGCCCGTACAACCTCGTGCACGTCCTCCTCATCGTCGCCGTTTGCTACTGCGGGAGAGGCTGCTGGGGCGGCCATGTTACTTAGCTTGCAAGGCAGTTCAGCATCTAGAGATCACCGGCTCACACGCCCGCTGTGTTTGCTTGGGCATAGTCCCCATGTACCGCCAACTGCCCGGGCCTGATGCAGCACAGCATGCACTGGGAAGGCGAAGGAAAACGTGCTCTGCAACCAAGACTAGACGCTAGGCACGTCCAACACCCCAGGCCTACTTCTATTCCACGTCCGCCTACGTAATCATTAGCCTCTGTAGGACTACGAGTATCCTCACTTGAGGAGAGACATGATACTGAGGGAGCAGAGGGTTCGGCTAAGGAAGAAAAAGACAAGAAACACAGTGCTGGATATTGCTTCTGCAGTTCTGGTGAAACCAGAGCTTCGACATTTACCTAGGCTGTACGCTTGTCGTTCAGAACCCAAATCCATGTGAATTTCACAACTGCACGCTGCGCCCTTTCGCACGCGGAAGATGGTGCGGCAGTCTACTCAGGGAGAACCGCAATCTAGGAAGTGACGGAATGCGGCGTTTATCCAGGGCCAAGTCGGGATGCCTGAAATGTGCAGTGCTGTGACCGCGAGCGCTACGCACTGCACTAGCAGCGGGCAGCGGGCGGAACGCAATGATCGCACGCAAAGCTAAACTAACAGCCATGCCACTGACTGTACATGTACAATGTACCAGTACACAGTGTCAGCAGTAAGCTACACTATACAGACTAATATTATGTGTGCAGCGAGAGCACAGCGTACATTGTATCTAATATTGCATCTATTTGTATCTAATATTGACTGACTCATTGAGTAGACGAGGTCAATAATTATAGGAAATAAAAGACGAGTAACAGCCCGAGGTACAGTACAGGTGAAGCTGGGGTCTTTTACGAAGTTTCTTCCTAGTATGAACTATGAACCACAGAAGTGAAAATTAGATGTATCATGAGAAACCAAAGCACGTGTTCAATCCCTGAAAAAGGGTCAGGCTATATTGAATGCTTATACGTCTTGACATTGTCATTGTATTTGTAGTATTTGACTCCTTAGGTATGGCAACAATCAGTGTGAGTCAATACTGTAAGAGAGTGATAACAAGTATAGCGATGAACACCGGCATCCACGACTGTAACAAGATCATAAGCAGTCAGAATGTGCGATAACAGAGCCCAAAACTGACAGGCCACTGAGACATTCAACGACCTGCCACCTAGCTCCAACACATCTCTTACGCGCAAACCCACTCTTTTGGCAACAGCCTTCCAACTGGCTGGGAAGGTTCGCGGTTAGGTAGGACCGCACTGGAGATATGACTGTTAGAGCTAGGTCTCAGGTCGTTGAGTGTCTCAGTAGCCTGTCAGTTTTGTACTCTGTTATCGCACTTTCTGACTGCTTATTATCTTGTTACAATTATAGTTGTGGATAGTTGCTCCATAACTCGTTCCCATGTGTTTTCTTCTATTTTACACTACTTCTTTGCATTTTTCACTCCAATTTCGAGAGAAAAAATCGCATGATGTGGACAGCACTTGTAAAGTTGTATTTCTTGTGAACAGGTACCTGTCGCACAAACATCCCAGCAGTGGCGAACAATCCAATACAGTCGGAACATGCACAGTTATGTCAGAATTCCGCAGACGATGGCCAAGCACAGGTTCGGAGACCAGTAACGCGAAGCATGACTCGTGCGACGACATCCACCACCGGAGTTGGACTTGAAGTTGAAGCAAGCAGAGACAAATCAATGACGTTGAGGGCAGAAGGTGATACTGAAGAAACCACGGATGAGGAGGGTGAGAGCAGTGCTGGAGAAAATGACATGGACAGCCACTGAGGACGAGGAGGAGCAGACTGAAGGTGAGAGCGAAAGGAAACAGTCAGCAGTATAGAAACACCTGTTGTCCAATAGTCAATGCCGTTCGATGTACATGTATTAGGATTCGTGCTTCACTGTTTTGTGCCATGCTTGTGGGTTTTGTGAATTTAAAAAAAGTATTAGAAGCTATCCGCAAGTACAACCCAGATCTATGCAGTCAAAAGGATGTCACAAAACTTAGACTTTTCACCTAGCATTTGCATACACATCCATTCATACATACATATACACCTACATGGTTGTACACCTACACCCCACATGCTCACTCTATCACATTCATTTCAGGCATCTCTTACATTCCCTTGCTTCTAGTTTTTCATTTCACCCACCCTTGGTATTAGGTCACACCCTTGACACATTCTCAGATCTTTCCATTTCATATTTTACTCTTTTTTCACACCTCAGCTTTATAATTCCATGACACTATCCTTTAGACGCTCATGTATATCTTTACGTTTGTTTCCCTTCCTAGGTTTTGTTGTTGAGACCGCTTTCCCTGATGAGTGTCTCATGAAAATCGATAAGGACATTTTTGTATTTTAAAGGTTCACCATATTCTGTAGCGAGGAAAAGGACATATGGATACGAGTTAAGAGTAACTCTCCACCACTCAGGTAACCAGATACTTATTATACAGTCAGAAAGTGCAAAGACTACAAAACTGACAGAGTACTGAGACATTCGACGTCCTGACACCTAGCTTCAACACATCTCCGTAGCGCTAACCGACAGCCTTCCAACTTGGAAGGTTCAAGGTTATGGAAAGACCAAAGAGGGGAAGGCAAGCGCAATGAAAACGAGCACAAGCTACAGTCCCAACGGAACAAAGAATGTCGATTGTTACTGGACGATGACGAGACCAGTAGGATACTTGACAAAGCGGTCTAACTACAATTCGAAGCAGCTAAGCAGCACACCACCCAACTTGGGTGGGTCTTAAAATCAAAGATAAGTAAAGAAGGGGGAAGCTTTGCGAAAACATCCGAGTTTCAAATTGCACACCTGATGAGCCGACACGAACCATACGACGAAACGTACGTCGTGTTCACCATTATTCTCTTAGTTTTTTCACAATGTCCGCCTCACTAATACCATTCATCGCTATTATCAAGTTATTGCCTCCTCATCGCCTATTCTAATACAGTATTATACTATAAAGAAAGTTAGTACACTGTACGAGGAAATAATGTCAAGTACGCCTAAAGACCGAGGTGAAGCCGAGATCTTTTACGGGGTTAATTAAAAAAATTTCCTGTCTTGACCTACAAGTACGAGTTGTAGTACGAAGTCAACATTCGATTTATCACGACAAACCAAAGCATGTGTTCAATTACTAACCAAAGGAGTCAAACAAAATTAGAAGCAGTCAATATAATTATTATAGCCCTAGGGCATGACATACATTTCTTACATGACACGTGATCGTTGCCGGGGCCATGGCCAATAGACGGTCTTCCCGCCGCGGGCATAATCAGGCCATCAGGACCGTTTGACGTCATTTCGGGAGTTTCAGGACCGTTTGACGTCACTTCGGGTATGTTAGGACCGTTTGACGTCATTTCGAGAATAATTTTTCGATCTTCGATCTTTGACCTTCCCTAATATGTTGCTTCGCGCTGTAAGAAATCAAATCAAGCACGCTCTGTCTGTCATGATGGCTGAATCTTGCCCTTGCCTGCAGCCCTCGGGCCTACGGCCCTTGGGCTGCAGGCTCGGGCAAGATTCAGCCATCATGACCTCCTGAGCGTGCTTGATTACATACGTATGCAGGAGTATTTGACTGCATACATGTACATGCAGGTATAGCCATTATCAATGGGAGTCATTACTCACTGTATGATATGCACAGTCTGTAGTGATAGCTTAGTAATAATTTTAATAGTAATGGATGCCGGTAGTGCTAGGTATACTCCATCCTCTAACCATGGCCATGGACCTGGATAGGATCCAGCGGATAATGCTCCGAAAATGTTCGTATAATGCTAACCATAATGCTCCAAAAACTGCCTTATAATGCTGATTATAATGCTTCAGCAAGGGATATAATGCTCTTGGTTTGGGACAAAAATGGAAGAAAGTCTGCACGTTGTCAAATTTCCAGGAAATTATGCATATCGTCGATCTGCATCTGAAGTTGCCACCTTATCTCTCACGAGCTCCACCACTTCTTAGCACTACAAGACATGATCACTTCTCCATTGATTGCTCTCCATTCCAACTTTGACCTGGGATTTCCCGATATTATCCACTATGAAACTCGTTATGCCGCTCAAACCTCACATAATGCTCGTTTTGTTCTTTTCTGATGCTCGGATAGTCGTATAATGCTGAATATAATGCTGGCATTATCCGCTGGACCCTAGACCTGGACCACGCACAGTAAGCCCTACATCACTGAGTTGGGCAGGGTTGGACATCACCCGGTACCACAAACTCTATACATGTATCAAACTTATATAAGTGATCCTGGGAGTCGAGGGAGAAGTCTTCAAGGTGTTCATGTGACCCTGGTACCTCGTTCTGCCTTACTTGTGATGAAGCTTTGCCCACCGTCATATCGAGTCAAGGCTACATGTATGTGAGATCGTCATCATATGGTTTCAGAGACAATTCAATGAAAGCAATGACATCATCAGTGACATCATCATTCGAAATGACAATGTTGCTGCTCCGCTGGCAGGCAGCAGAAAAGCTCAACTTACTAACGTTATAAGCTGCAGTAAGCCAGGTGTTACTAGCAGCTTTCCTCACCGTGGCAAGCTTGGCACAGCCAGCTAGGCCCGCATCATCAGAGCTATTGTGAGCTGCTGCGGCTGATACTGGCATTGCCGCCGGTGCGTCTTGGCTGTAGTATATGCTGAACTGTCCTGCATTATCATCCAAGTACACTATGCGCAGATAGACCGATCCAGATGTAAGCGCTGTGGACAGGTTGCGATCCAGTTGGAATAGCATCACATTCTTGCCAAACGAGTGGTTGAATGAGCGGGCAAAGCGTCCCCAGAAGTTGCTTCCTTCGGTGCTGTTGGCATTTCCCACCCTCCACCTCCCGTCCGTTGTCTCCACTGGATCCAGTTGGGTGAGGTACATGTTGTAGTTCGTGGGAAGGATTTCCCAGCCAACATCGTTCCAAGCAGTGCGCTGTCGTCCTGACTGGGTTCCCTGTGTGGCGTGATGTGGGTCATCCTGTCGCGCTCCTGCCCAGCTGAACGCCTCTGCAATGGCTTTCATCCTATCCGCGTTGCTTAGTCTGGCCTTGCCAAACGTCTGCTCCGGGAATCGGACCGTGTCGGCAGCATTCAGACCATCGTGCAGATACGCCCAAGCACCCGGGGACTCGTTGGCATGGCGCACGCCGGCATACTTGTTGAAAAACTTCAGCATCGGCCAGATCTGCGTTGGGTAGGCATCCAGCTCCCACTCCATGGCACGCATGCTATCCAGGTTCCAAGTCAAAGACCAGGTAATGGCTGCCCACGCGGTGGCAACCGGGTTCATGTTGCCCTCCATTAAGTGTCTATCCTGAAAGCACACAGCCCGAATATACTGGCCACCAGTGTGCGGCGTATGCATCAAGTGATACATTGTGTCGTTCCACATCAGGCTCAAGCGTTCTCCGGTCTCCTGGTACTGCTTGCATACTTCATGTGCTGCATTTCCAAGGTGCTCGTAGCCCACAATATCAGCCAATTGCTCCGTCAAGCCGGGGATGTCTTCCAGACCGTGTACGTTGAGTGCAAACAGGTCATTCTTCAAGGCAATGGAACGATACTCCTGCACCACTCGGATGGTGTAATTATGCCAGTAACTCAGCCACACATCTCTTGGTATCTCGTACTTGGGATTCTGGGCAGGACCGTGCCATGGTGCTACATCACCAGTGGACCCCAACACAACATCGACACCAGTGAGAGCAGCACCCAGATCACTCGGCAGTGACGCAATGAACAGCCTCACCGTCGACGTCATGTTCATGAAGAAGTGCGTGTAATTGGTGCTGAGATAGTAGGGGAAATCTCGCAAGTCGTTTGCGGTGAAGTTGACGACAACTCTGGGCACTCCATTGTTGTAGAGCCATTGTGGAGCTGCTGCGCCTGTTTCGATAGTGTAGTACACCAGTTTTCCCGCAGCAACTGCCGCCTTTATGTCGACCAGGAATTGGGTAAAATTGTAAGCAGCATATTCAGGCTGAATGTCGGTCCATTCATACTTCAAATGAACGGTCCTTGCGTAGGGGCATGACAGGTTGCCGACTCCCTCTTGCATGATCCCGGACACCACGCTGCTGCTCCGCTTGTCCCGTTGGAAGACTGCACGCTCCTCACCACCATCCGCCACTCCGGACGCGGACGCACACCCACAAGAAGCCAAGAGGAAGCACAGCCACGCAGTGCTGCGGCCCAACATTTCCACCGTGTCACGAGCGGACGACAGTCACTCTCACACGTTCGTAGGTCGACAATCTCAACCAGCTCCGTAACCGGTGTAGATCTACGTGGTGTGGTAAAATAATTCTATTTCAGGTAGTAGTGACCCTTCCTAAATACTTGTCTGTGGAATTACCTGGCTGGGTACTGCATGATCACCTAAAAAGAAGTGAGACCAAGCGGACGTGCAAACTTCGACAAGGGAGATACTACTACAATTGTAGTCTAGCACTGCAGTGCAGAACATTGTTTCAGGCTAAATCTTCTGCTACTGCCGTAGAGGTCTACTGACTGACTAGCGTCAAACCAATCCAAGATCGCGTGATCATGGTGATCGATCTGTAGACTACTAAGTACTACTAGTAGGGTGTTCGGTGCCTCGAACCCAGGCGCATTTTGAGTGGAAACAGTTTTGTACGGGGTCCGTGGCACAATCGTACATCACTGTGCTTCTTGCCTTGGCAAGGTAAAATTTTAGCAGCTCAGGACGAGTTTGTTTCTTTGTTGGAAAGAGGAGATGTCTCTGCTGTTGAGACCGTAAGTCCCGTTTCCACACGACGAATTTTAGCAATGTTACGCCCTGCGCAACTTCAGGGTATCGATTTCGACCTGTTCTGGGCCGGTCGCAACGCCGGCGACTATTCCATCGTCTTCAGCGTCGAAAAACTACGCAGTGTGTGAAATTTGGAGGCTGTACGATGCTGTCTTCTTGTTCTATGAGCGATCGATTTGCGCCAGGATACCAAATGTATGGAGTACATGTACATGTACATGGAGTTGATGGACTTGGCTGTAGTGCTGTTTATTTGTAGTTTCGCTGAGCTACCACATCAGATAAACCTCTGGTCGCTGTATCTGGAGAGTGGAGAAAGCCATTGTGCAGACAAATTGGTCAAGAGCAGATTTCCTGCCAATACTGCGTTCAATATGCAGCTGAAAATCTGCACAGAATTGACACTCAGAGTCAGAGGATTTGCAAAATTGCAGCGCGCTAACGCAGTGCAGCTACGCAATGCCGTATGCACCGTGTCTTGAGTACATTGTCATCCACATAGCATGGGCAATGTAGGACCAGTGTATTTGTCGACTTTATAATTTACATCCAAATTACGCTTGCACAATCATCCGATAAATGAACTGTCTGTTGGTTGTGCGAATCGTATGAATGAATTACATGTGACGTGCGACACCAATTGCCCCGAAGTGCTGCACGCGCCGTATATGACTGGGAGCAAGTTGTCCTTCTAAAGCTGATGATTAGCAGGACTGCTGCTGCCTTGGCCTGGCTGAAGCTTACATCGTGTTGAAATGGTGCAGCATACCTGTTAATTGGCTGCATGCATCCGGTCCCGCGGCGCAACATGCCCGGGTGCGGGTGCCGTCTCGGCTGAGTGCGTATGTTATTTTCTTGGATGCTTCATCTACATGGGGTAGATAACTGTAATCTCCTCCTGGTGATGTGTCTTTGTAGTACCCGTATTCCAATTAGCTTCAGCCTGTGAAGGGTTACATCTTTCGCATCTATTTCGACTAATTTGTACGCGTTGCTATGGTGGTTGCTATGGGCGTAATTTGAATTTGGCTAATTGGAATACCAAAAAAATTGGTCAAGTGATGGAAGCTCTCTATTGGCTATCATCTGTGGAAATTTGAAAGACCCTGAACGAAATTGATTTTCACCTTGTTCTAGTTGGTTTTGAATTTCCCGGTTTTGTGCCACTGGCCTGCATCAAAACTGTTCCAGAAAAAGTGCCAACAAGCGCACTTCAAACGATCATAACTCTTGAACGTCTGGTCGGATTTAGACAAACCTCATATATTTCCCGGCTAGTTTATCCTACTCTTTCCAATGAGACTAAAATCGAGGAGATTGGAGCAACTTTCAAAATCGTCCGAACACCCTACTACTAGTAGACTAAAGAGTCCATAATACCTGGGCAACGCCGGACTCAGAGTCACTCTGAAGACTGAAGTGAAGACTGAATTCTTGATGCCAAAAAAGTAGCAGCTAACAAGCGGTGTTTCAGACTTTTTGGTGAGATGTTTGCCGCTATGCACTACATGTATACACTTTTTTTTTTTTTTTTTTTTTTTAATTTCGGCCAGTCGGCTACATGTACTATCATTAATTTTCGTCTTGGGGGTTAGACAAGGGGAAGTAGCCATGTAGGGGCGTTAGCCCGCCTTTCGGGAGAAGTAGACTAAGGGCGCGTTCGAATTGTCACTCTTTAACTTTTCGAGGAGTTTCGCTTTTCTGAAGAGGTGGCCTTATTTTGGCTCTTCAGAAAAACGAAACTCCTCGAAACTCCACAACCTCATCCGATGGGAGAGGTGGAATAGCTACATCAGTACATGTACAATGCACGTCGAGATGGTCGATCTGATCTGACGTCATTATTGCCATGACAATTCCATTGAAAAACTCTAAAATGATGGAAACCGTTCTATTGAGTATTGGGACTTCAACTAATCTCTTTGAAAAATCTGTTCGAACAGTTGATGAAGACAATTCGAACGCCCCCCCCCCCCCCCCCAAGAGGACTAATTTTCCACCGCAAAGCGATTCTGCAGTGCAGTGCGATAGGGAGAGGTGCCAGGACCAGGAGGAGACACAGATCTGGTGACGGTCATCCCCAGTCAGCTCAAGCAGTCCATGGCATTTATCTTCTTCAAGACTCTTTATCTTGGCAGTACACCCATCTCTTTCACACTCTGTAAATAACGGAGACTCCCTCGATTTAGGCTAAGGCCTGTGGAGAATCCATATACTAGTATACAACTACAACTACACCTACAGGACTGTTACTACACAATGACTGTTACTACTGTATTCCTTCAGTCTCCGCAAGCAGCACAAGAACAGCACTGAGCTAGCTATCCAAGCATGCCTGGAAGTAACTAGTTGAACGAGTGTCTCCTGATGATTTCACAGAGCAAGAGTAACTCGGAGTAGAGACGAATTCCACTGGACTTTGTGTGTGAAGCAATAGTTGAAAGAGAGACAGGAAGACTATGCGATGCCCTGGAGTATCTCGGATCAGGCTACAAGTACAACAACATCAGCAAGAAGTGCAACCTTTGCCTCGCCGAGGGGTTCCGGGTCATAATCGCAGATAGAAGCACATACCTCAACGAGGGAAGCGAGCTCATCTCGAAATGCATGCAGCGTATATATATAGCCACCAAATTCATTTTTCAAAATACCTCCATTACAGTCATTATAATGTACATGTACATGTAATGCTATTATATAGTAAAGAAAAAACCAACTGGCTAACATCCTCATGTTATTTCTATAACTTAGAACCTTCCAAGTAATTAGTTGGACGGCTGTTGGAGTGCGCATGTGCTAGAGCTGTTAGCCAGTTAGTTGTAGAACGTCAGTACCGTCGGTCAGTGTCCTGCAATGTTATCCCATGAGCTGATTGTTTAGTAACTGGTGGTGTTAGTGGACATTATAGCGTAACTTATAGTTTCTTGGCCCTTTTTCTTTATTATAAATTTATCCTTGGCTCTCCATCCGAATCCATACGTGTAAATGTGTATGTTTAAACATGTTTTTGGTTGACAGCATGTAACAATAATGCCATGTGTATGTTTCCATCAGTCACACTAGCTAAGGATCTAGCTTTCAGTACCGTGCAACGAGAGAGAGAGAGAGAGAGAGAGAGAGAGAGAGAGAGAGAGAGAGAGAGAGAGAGAGAGAGAGAGAGAGAGAGAGAGAGAGAGAGAGAGAGAGAGGGAGAGAGAGGGAGAGAGAGGGAGAGAGTGAGAGAGAGTGAGAGAGAGTGAGAGAGAGAGAGAGAGTGAGAGAGAGTGAGAGAGGGAGAGAGAGTGAGAGAGAGGAGAGAGAGTGAGAGAGAGTGAGAGAGAGTGAGAGAGAGTGAGAGAGAGTGAGAGAGAGTGAGAGAGAGTGAGAGAGAGTGAGAGAGAGTGAGAGAGAGTGAGAGAGAGTGAGAGAGAGTGAGAGAGAGTGAGAGAGAGTGAGAGAGAGTGAGAGAGAGTGAGAGAGAGTGAGAGAGAGTGAGAGAGAGTGAGAGAGAGTGAGAGAGAGTGAGAGAGAGTGAGAGAGAGTGAGAGAGAGTGAGAGAGAGTGAGAGAGAGTGAGAGAGAGTGAGAGAGAGTGAGAGAGAGTGAGAGAGAGTGAGAGAGAGTGAGAGAGAGTGAG